GTAAAGCTGGCCGGAGGCTCCTGTCTGGTCTGAGGCAGACCCTCCTGGGTTCCCTTGTGGCCCAGGCATGGAAACTCCAGGATTCATTCGGTCTCACCAGCAGGAAATGCTTCCTTAGCGCAGCCTCTCAGCTCCAGGATGGACTGATGGACTGGAAGAGTTTAAATGAGAAACTCACCCACTTTTCAGGAAGCAAATTCTCAACCCCAAGGCACTCCAGTAAGAAACTCTTAACTAGCTGTAATTAGGCTCCTGAAGACTTGATAAAATAAACCGGGAGCTAGCTAGGAGTCGGCCAAAAGCAAACGCAGAGAAGCACTTACTCCCCTGGCTGCTGGCAGGATGCTGCTGAGTGAAGGGCCAAAGAGCTGGTGATCTTCAGATTTCAGATCAAAAGATTGCAGGCACCCTGCCCCCACCCACATCCACTGTCCCTATTTCACACCTGCCAGCATCTCCACCTAGGTGTAACAACGTGTGTTAGGGACCTAACTGTCCCCAGTACCATGCCGGGCACTGGGAACACCATTTCATATGACTGTCATGGATGAGGGTCATTGGCAAAGATCTAGGCAGCAGGAAGTCAAACCCCAGGCCTGCCTGGCTCCTGCTGCCTCTGGCCGGCAGCCAGAATTCATCTCCAACCCCTTGGGAAGAAGCCCTGGCTGCTGATGATGGAGTGGCACCCTGGCCTCGGTTCCCATGGGTTCCCAGCATGGTGGCCTGGGGCGCTGGCTCTGGGCCCCCACCGCCAGCATTCCTCACTCGCCTGTTCCGGCCCAGCCGCTCCTCTCCAGCTTCCTGACACAGGGCGCTGTGCAATCCCCCTAATGGGGCTCCAGCGTGGATCTCCCCTGCCCACCTGAACCTACAGGGGCTCCCCACTTCCTACCAGATCAAGTCCAGCCCTGACCTACTTTTCCAACCTCAGCCCCCTCGCAGCTTCTCACTCCCGAAGCTTCTGGACCCTCCGACTCCCAGGTTCACTCATTCGGCAGCTGCTGAGCCCCAGTTATGTGTCAGGCTTTTTCAGGTGCTAATGGAACTGTATTACATCTAGTGGAGGGAGCAGGAGAAGATGGATGACCGGAGGGAGGGGCCTCACCCAAACTCCAGCTCTCCCATCAACTGCAACAGGTTGCTTACCGGTGTCCCAGAAGCTGGTGGCCAGAGCGCCTCTCCAGCCCCCTGCGCCACCCCCAGGCAGGGCCGGCCCGCCCACCCTCCCCACCCCTCGCTGCCTGAGTTGCTTCCCCTCTGCTCTGCCCGCCCCCCTTCCGCGAATAGGTAGTATGGTGCTGGCTAGCTGAAAGTGCTAGAGGTCGAGCGTGTCACTCGTGGTAAGAGGACACTTTGTCTTGTATG